AAAAAAAAAAAAGAAGTAAAGGAAGGAATTCATCTAGTAGCCTTCCCCAGCCTTAGGCAATTCTACCTACATCTAAATGAAAAGCACCTGTGAAAATCTTTAGATTGAATTAAACCATGAAACTCCATCCTAAGAGACCAAAGTCTATTGAAAAGGACAGAGAACACGGAACTAAAGTAATGTGAGTGCTTGGGTAGATCCTTTAGCGTTGGGGTAGACGTCCAGAAGAAAGAAGTCTTCAGGATGCACAGGTGCTGGGTGCAATGTCTTTGTCAGGTCTGCTTTGGTGATCCAGAATTTAAACTTCTGGCACGCATGGATCATTATCTTTTTTTTTCTTTAAAGATGGAGTCTTGCTCTGTCACCCAGGCTGGATTGCAGTAGCATGATCTTGGCTCACTGCAACCTCCACCTCCTGGGTTCAAGCGATTCTCATGCTTCAGCCTCCCAAGTAGTTGGGATTACAGGTGTTGCCATCACGCCTGGCTTATTTTTCGTATTTTTAGTAGAAACAGGGTTTCATAATGTTGGTCAAATGGTCTTGAACTCCTGATCTCAGATGATCCACCTGCCTTGGCCTCCCAAAGTGCTGGGATTATGGGTGTGAGCCACTGCATCTGGCTTTTTTTTTTTTTTTTTTTTTTTTTTGGAGACAGGGTCTCTACCTCTCACCCAGGCTGGAGTGCAGCAGTGTGATCATGGCTCACTGCAGCCTTGACTTCCTGGGCTCTAGCAATCCTTCCACTTCAGGTCCCCAAGTAGCTGGGACTACAGGTATACTTCACCACTCCTGGCTAAGTTTTTAATTTTTTTGTAGAGATGGGGTCTTACTATGTTGTTCAGGCTGGTCTTGGACTCCTAGACTCAAGCAATCCTCCCCCCTTGGCCTCCCAAAGCACTGGGATTACAGGCATGAGCTACTGTGCCTGGCCTATTACCTCTAACTTGAAAAACACCATCCCCAGGATACTGCTTCATAACCTCACCTGCCCCAGCCAATGAAGTCCAATGTGGTTACGGACTTCATCAATCTCCACATGCAGTGGTCCTCTATCCCTGCTAGTTCCATCCAACAAACTCTTTCTACTTCAGGACTGAATAATATCCAAATTGCTCTTAGAAGAGTCATCTATTATTCTAATTTTTATGTAAACCATACTCTGAAATATGGGATACATTTTTTCCCTTAAGTAGTATCTGTTTCCAAGTTAGTTCTATGTCAACAAACAGCACCTTGTTCTGCTCTCCTCTGGTTCTTCCTGATAATAAACTTTCTGATTAAAAAAACCTGGACTGATCGGGCTGTGGTGGCTCATGCCTGGAATCCCAGCACTTTGGGAGGCCAAGGTGGGAGGATTGCTCATGCCCAAGAGTTTGAGACCAGTCAGAGCAATAGAGAGACCTCATTTCTATTAAAAAAAGAAACAAGCTAAAAAAAAAGTGGCCTACTGGCAGATATCATAAGCTTGTCGGCTCAGAAGTGACAAACATAGGCCAGGCACGGTGGCTCATGCCTGTATTTCCAGCACTTTGGGAGGCTGAGGTAGGTGGATCACCTGAGGTCAGAGTTCAAGACCAGCCATGGCCCATCTCTATTAAAAACACAAAAATTAGCCAGGCAGGAAGGCAGCAAATCACGCTGCCATGTGTGTACCTATGCAACAATCTTGCATGTTCTTCACATGTACCCCAAAACCTAAAATGCAATTAAAAAAAAAAATTAGCCAGGCATTGTGTGGCATGCCTGTAATCCCAGCTACTCAGGAAGCTTAGGCACGAAAATCGTTGGAACCCGGGAAGTGGAGGTTGTAGTGAGCTAAGATCATGCCACTGCACTCCAGCCTGTGTGACAGAGCAAGACTGTCCCCCCCCCGCAAAAAAAAGAAGTGACAAACACTGGCAACAGGACACAATCCGAAAGAATGATGAAAAAGAGAACCTCTAAAAGTCTAGCCAGATGTCAAAATTGCTGATTAAGAGGGAAATATCTGGTTCCAATCCTGAAGTAAATCCTAGCATTGTGAGTAAAAATTTTAGAAGACAGAAGGATTATCAAAGTTATTTGGATCATATCCAATATTAGATTAATTCTTTGGATTTCCAAGGGCAGATGAAATGATTGGCCTTTGCCTAAAACTGCTGGGATATAGCACAACTCAAGGGTCCGATTTGATACAGAAAAGCTGCATTGAGAGAGAGAGGGATAACTTCCAACTCTCAAGGCCCGAGTTCAGCAAATATTGGCAGTCATAGACTGTGGATGGCCTGCTTTGGGGGAACTACTGGCTTTTAGGATGTGAACCAGAATATTCCCAGATCACAAAAGTAGCCAACAACATGAAATCACACCAAATGATTCACACAACCCAATGCTACTGAAAAGAGGCAGCTTCCAGTAATCAATAGTAGTGGGTGCGGTTCAACTTTATTATATGGCTGAGCAGGTCTACTTGGCCGAGAGCCAGACGGTCCTTGGACTTACCTATAAATTCATCCATCTGAAAAGGTGAGGCTGGGGGGAGCCAGAACTATAAAGCAGTCTGTTCTCTCAGACAGGTCAAGTTGATTAGAATGCATAATAAAGTTTCCTACCGAACCCACATAGGAAGTTATTTTTAGCAGTTCCTTAGTGAGTAATAGCAATCACACTTCAGATGAATGCCACATAGCTAGATATCCTATCCTTTGTTCAGGGTGGATTAGGACTCTGATGAGGAATAGAAAAAGGTAAAAAAAAAATAGAAGTAGGATTCTAACTAGAGACAGAGGTTTTTCTTAATTCCAACCATGGTTCATTTCATTCTGAACATGTGTGGCTATAAGATGTCCTTTGTCCTGCAGCATTGTGGCTCAGACCAACTCTGTCTAGATTTAGATTAGTTCATTAAAGCCTCTTGCCCTACAGAAAAAGTAGGGCTATGGCTTTAGAATTGAATTTGTTTGGCATTTTTGGAAAAGAATTCTCAGAAGCCATGATGGCTCCTTGCATTTCCCATGTTCTTCTCTGGGGGAACAGAGGTACTTTGTTTCCTCCTATTCCAATGGAGGACACAGCAGTATGTTTTTCTTCAAAGACTTTTCCAAGTAATAAAGCATTCAGTTCTTAGGGACCTCCCATTAACAAAGTGCCACTAATGCCATTAATGAATCTTCTGCCTAAATGATGGAAGAATGCTATTTATCTATCCTCATTCCAGGATTTATTTATTTTTTTGAGTTGGAGTCTCACTCTGTCACCCAGGCTGGAGTGCAGTGACACAGTCTCAGGTCACTGCAATCTCTGCCTCTCGGGTTCAAGAGATTTTCTTGCCTCAGCCTCGCATGCCACCACACCTGGCTAATTTTTGTGTTTTTAGTAGAGACAGGGATTTGGCATGTTGGCCAGGCTGGTCTTGAACTCTTGACCTCAGATGTTCCACCCACCTTGGCTTCCCAAAGTGCTGGGATTAACAGGCATGAGCCACCATGCCCGGCCTCATTCCAGGACTTTAAAGCAACAATTTCCTCAAAGCCATGGAGTATTTAATTTGTTCTGCTTAATTATATATTATTTAAAAATGTAACAAACAATCACATAGGATCTCACAGAAAATATGTGGCCCTCCTCTTTGACTCAGACTTCTGAGGCACTTCCTTGAACAGCCTAAGTCTTGCCAACTGACTCCTTACCAAGTGGACCCAAAGAGCTGGCTGGAATTGTATATTTTTGTCACCATATTTCTATGAATTTTGTCTCTTATTCACCAACGTCCAGGAAGTCAAAGAGCTGGGGAAGAAGGGCAGGGTGGGGTCATGTAATTGGCTAAATCCAGAGGTCCTTGGTGAGGCTACATATAACAGGAAGCAGAACCACAGTACCAACCAGAGGCACCAGCATCACAGCCTGCTGCCTGACCTTCAGCACAGGTGAGACGGTGGAGCCTTCCTTGATGTAGTCAGAACATTCCACGACGGTCCTGCCCATGGGAGAGTCTCTGCTACAGTAAAGGACACTGATCTACCCTACCTGATGAGAAGTCAAAGACAAAATGTGCCTCACAGCAACTTTTAAGGTGCCTCTCAGCAAGTCTTGTCACAACAAGATAATCCCTTTTTAAGTAGCAATTCAATTAGGTAGTCATTATCATGGCATTTTCCTTCAGGAACCCCGTCTCCTATTAGTGAAAGGAATCACAGGCTCCTAGAATATTCCTAGGCATCCAATGCCTACGAATGGAGAAAAAAATCAAAGCTCACACTCTTTCTGAAGGGTTTGTTGCCAGTCACGTCAGGAAGGTTTAAGTGGATACAGGGAAGAAATTCAATAAAATATTTATGCTCTCTTACCATTAGCATCTTGGACTCCAGTAAGTGCTCCAACGGCTGCTGCGGTTTCCCCAGACAAGACGATCTGTCCCCCACCTTGTAAGGTGGCCTCAGCCAGGGTGGCGACAGCATGGGCGGCAGCTTCGCTGCAGGTACAGGAACAGGAGAGAGGGGGATGTGTAAGATGAATAGAGGAATAGCACTGCAGCCAAGACAAACCATCCTTTCAATGCCTTCCGTGGGTCTCTCTACTGACTCCATGGTTGTGATCCTACCAGCAAATACGTGATAACAGTGCTAATAGATAAAGCCAAGAGTAATTTTGAAATGCTAATATTAATGGCTAGAGTTTCTTTGAACCTAGGTAATGAGTGTTTGAGGACAGAAGGCACTCATCAGTTTCTTCCTTATCAATATCAATTCAGTGCTTGCAAGCCATAGTGGAAGCTCTGATCCATATTCACAATGCAAAAGCCATTTTGGTTGTCAATCACAAGGTTTTCCTTTTCTCTTTTCTCCTTACAGTAACACAAGGCAGACCATCTGAGACTGTCCTTTTATAGCCAAGGATGAATGATAATATGAGGAGTTAGCAGCAACCTGGACTTACTCTTCAATTCATATTAAATAATAATTTGACTTACAGTCATGCTTTTCAAATACAAAGTAATGGGTGATTAATATCCTGAAAAGTCCAACTCTTCCTTTTGACCCACTGTATATGCAGGCAGGATTAAAACAAAGACTTAAAATGTAAAATTAGCACTACAAGCCCAAACTGTTTGCCTCTATAAATACAACAAAATAATAAACCTCCCTACATTGCACAAATGCTCTGTAGAATAGAGACATTAACCATTTGTTTATAGCAAGTACTATTTTAGCAGTGTGTGTCTCATTTTTCTTTCTTTTCTTTGCGATATGCTTTTACTATATGCATAAATACCCATTTTCCTTGATCCTATGATGCTACAAACTATAAGACATACTATTATTTTTATGGGCCAGTAAGGAAGAAAAATTCCTGACAATTCTAAGATTATAATTTGCCATCCAAATTTCATGATCCGTTGAAAAAACAGGCAAATTCATGATCCCTTCTGGGAAAGTATCAGGTGTCAATTTGCAGTTACTCAGGGACTACTGAAAGTGGGCATGGAGAAAAAATAACAAAAAATAAAAATAAAAAAGAAAGAAGTGGGCATGGAATAGAGATGGTGATGCCATTTAGTTAGCAGAAGTGGATAAATAAGCCAGTTGAGTCGGCTTTGCTCTGAAGCTGCAGACTTAGCTGTAACACGGCAGTGGTCTTGCAAGCACAGGCTGTAAGTGGAGATGGGTAAGAGGACAGGGACTAATCGGGGCAAACATGTCAGGGCTGTGAGCAAAGCCACAGGTACCAAACTCAGTAATGTCTCTTTCACCTAAGACAGTCAGCAGACATGTAAGACAGCAGATATAGTAATTCCCCTGCAAAAGACCTCCTGGTCACTGTAAAGATTTTAGGAAGAAGTAAAAGAAACCGAATGGACAGAAAAGTCTCATTAAATAGAAAAATTTCCCCTTCTTACTAATTTGTCTTGCTTTTTAATTTTTATGCCTGTGTTTTACACAGTTATCTTTTTCTGATTATAAAAGCAATACACTTGTTTTTATAGATAGCTTGGGCAAACTCAAGTATAAAAGAAAATTTAAAATATCATAATTATTTCCTTCTAATCTTAACCACAACTTTAAAAAGATAATCATTAGGATTGTACTGTACAGTTTTTAAAATTATTTTGTTGTGGTAAAATGCATATAACATAAAATTACATTCTTAACACTTAAGTGTGCAGTTCAGGGATGTTCAATACGCTCAGAATGCTGTGCAACTACCGCCTTCACTCATCTCCACGACTCTCTTCATCTTGTAAAACTCAAACTCTGGACCATTAAACTTCCTGTTCTACCATCTCCCTAGCCCCTGGCAACCACCATTCTACTTTCTGCCTCAATGATTTTTTTCATTTTTGTTTTTATTTTTTAGAGACAGGGTCTCGCTATGCTGCCCAGGCTGGTCTCGAACTCCTGGGCTCAAGTGATCCTCCTGCCTTAGTCTCCTGACGCAAATAGCTGGAACTATAGGTGTGTGTGCCTTTGTTGTCATATTTAAGAAATCACTGGCAAATCCAATGTCATTATGTTTTCTTCTAAGAGTTTGATAGTTTTAGGTCTTAGATCCACAACTGTTTTTTGTCTCTATGATTTTGACTACTCTATCTCACATAAGCATAACCACACAGTATTTGTCCTTTTGTGTCTGGTTTATTTCACTTGGCAGAATGTTCTCAAGGTGCATCCATGTCGTAGCATTTGTCAGAATTTCCTTCCTGTTAAAGGGTAAGTAATATTCCACTGTGTAGAATATACCACATTTTGTGTATCCATTCATCTGTTGATGATCACCTGGGTGCTCCCATGTTTTAGCTATTGTGAATAAATAATGCTGCTGCGAACACAGGCATATAAATATTTCTCTGAGATCCTGCTTTCAATTCTTTGGGATATATGCTCAGAAGTGGATGTGCTGCAAAATATGGTAGTTCCATTTTTAATCTTTTGAGGAATTATCATATTGTTTTCCACAGTGTCTATATCATTTTACATTCCCACCAATAATGCACAAGGGTTCCAATTTCTCCACATCCTCACCGACACTTGTTATTTTCTGTTTTTGGATTGTGGCCATCTTAATGGGTGTGAGGAGATAGCTCACTGTACTTTTGATTAGTGATGTTGCACATCTTTTTTTGTGCTTATTGGCCATCTGCATAGCTTCTTTGGAGAAATGTCTATTCGAGGCCTTTGCCCATTTTTGAATAGAGTTTTTGTTGTTGTTTAGATGTTCTCTATATATTCATCAATCCTTTATCAGATATGATTTGTAAATATTTTCTCCCATTCGGTGGCTTGCCTTTTTCCTCTGTTGATAGTGTCTTTTGATGTACAAATTTTTAAAATTTTCATAAAATCCTATGTCTATTTTTTCTTTGTCATATCCAAGAAATTACTGCCAAATCCAATGTCATGAAGTTTTGTCCATGTTTTCTTCAAAGAGTTTTATAGTTGTAGGTCACGGAATCGCTTTGAGTTAGTTTTTATACATGGGCATTAGGTAAAGGTCCAATTTCATTCTTTTGTATGCAGATATCCAGTTTTCTTAATAGTTTTCAATGCTGAAAAGGCAGTCCTTTCCCCTTGACTGGTCTTGGCACCCTTGTCAAAAATCATATGACCATGTATGTGAAGGTTTATTTCTAAGCTTTCAATTCTATTCCACTGGTCTATATGTTTGTCTTTATGCCAGTACCATACTGTTTTGATTACTACAGCTTTGTGTTAAGTTTTGAAATAAAAAGTGTGAGTCTTCCAGTTTTGCTCTTTTCTTTTTTTTTTTTGTGAGACAGAGTTTTGCTCTGTCACCCAGGCTGGAGTGCAGTGGCTTGATCTCAGCTCATTGCAACTTCTGCCTCTGGGGTTCAAGCAATTCTCCTGCCTCAGCCTCCCAAGTAGCTGGGATTACAGGTACCTGCTACCATGCTTGGCTATTTTTCTTTTTTTTCTTTTTGTATTTTTAGAAGAGATAGGGTTTCACCATGTTGGCCAGGCTGGTCTCAAACTCCTGACCTCAGGTGATCTACCTGCCTCGGTCTCCCAAAGTCTTGGGATTATAGGTGTGAGCCACCACGCCTGACCCAGTTTTGCTTTTTTCAATATTGTTTTGGCTATTCAGGGTCCCTTGAGGTTCCAGACATTTTAGGACAGGCTTTTCTATTTCTACCAAAAAAAAAAAAAAAAAAAAAAAAAAAGAAGGGCCGAGCACGGTGGCTCATGCCTGTAATCTCAGCAGTTTAGGAGGCTGAGGCGGGCGGGTCACTTGAGGTCAGGAGTTCAAGACCAGTCTGGCCAATATGGTGAAACCCTGTCTCTACTAAAAATACAAAAATTAGTCACCCAGGCTGGAGTGCAATGGCACAATCTTGGCTCACCACAACCTCTGCCTCCCGGGTTCAAGCGATTCTCCTACCTCAGCCCCACTGAGTAGCTGGGATTACAGACATGTGCCACCATGTCTGGCTAATTTTGTATTTTTACTAGAGACAGGGTTCTCCATGTTGGTCAGGCTGGTCTCGAACGCCCGACCTCAGGTGATCCACCTGCCTTGGCCTCCCGAAGTGCTGGGATTACAGGCATGAGCCACCTCGCCCAGCTAACATCTTAATAATATTAATGTATTTACCTTTACCGAAATCTTTCTTTCTTCATAAGGCTACTAGTTACTGTCAGTACCCTTTTCATACAAATAGTTTTAAAAGCTCACTTTTTTCACTTAACATTCTATTTCCTCCATGTCGATATTCTCTGACATTTATTCAAAATGATAAATTAAATGCAAAATTAATTTTTCCTTTTTTTTGAGTTGTTTAGATGTGGCAATTGCTTTCATGTGGAAAAAATAAACAAAATTTAATTTCCAGGTTTCCTTTGACTTACAAGGTCATGATGACATATTTTACATTTATTTGTTTCCTTCATAAAAGAATTTGGGACATAACTGAAGTTGTGCAAAAAGCTGAGCAGAATCATTGAGTTCACAGGCAGCCCGTATAGCTGAGCTCATGCTCTCTGCTGACACACCTCCTGGTGATCTGGCATCCACAGCCAGTTATTCATAATATCTGTAATATGAACTCAGAGACCAAGGGGACCCTTGATCTGGAATTACTACTAAGGCTGTTCTTTACATTTTTCATGATAGAGTTTAATTTTAAAGAGCTTTGTAAGTATTTATTAGACAGACTTTAATGAATAATTTTTAGTACCTAAGGCCTTACTTTTTAATATTTTGCTAAGAAATTTATATTAATAGACTGGGTGTGGTGGCTCGCGTCTGTAATCCTAGAACTTTGGGTGGCCAAGGCAGGCGGCTCACGAGGTCAAGAGATCAAGACCATCTTGGCCAACATGGTGAAAACCTGTCTCTACTAAAAATACAAAAATTAGCCAGGTGTGGTGGCACATGCCTGTAGTCCCAGCTACTCAGGAGGCTGAGGCAGCAAAATTGCTTGAACCCGGGAGGTGGAGGTGTCAGTGAGCCGAGGTT